TACGTGTAAAACTCGCTTATTGTAGGAACGCGTTTTTTGTTAATTCAGCAGAGGCCTGTTGAACTACCTGTATGGATTTCGAGGCGCCTTTTCTCACGTGCTAATTCCAATTCCGACAAACTCTACCAATTGGTATGAATTTTTGCTGCGGAGTTTGTTCGCGCTCAGCTTTGGAACGTTTAGTGCGAACCGGAAAGTTATGCATATCTAGGTTTTTTTTTCAATTTGAGAATAATACGACTATAGACTATGGAACGCTTCTAGAACGTTGGTGTCAATCGATTCACGTTGAACTCTCAAAAATCGAAGGAGTTGGAAATATTACTTTACATAACGGCTTGATCGTCCTTCTAGGTTCATAGCCAAAATCCAACTCAGTAATAGACCCTCTCGCGCCATGTTCGCCTCGTTGGGTTACAAGGAGATGAAGATCGTCCAGTGTTTTAATGAGGTCCACTGTGTGAAGACATTCGACTAGTCTTATTCCGTTCAACTGTCCAGTTTCCTCACTGAAGTCTAATTCATGTGTTGGTCGAGCATCATGAAGTGGCGACGTCAGTCCGTGTGCATGCGTGCAGAATTCTTGTGCAATTTCTGTCTCCAGTTTCTTGATAGCGGCCGAGTCGGATTTATCTCGATGTGCTCTGAGCACTTGATACTGTGTCGCAATCGACCCGTTCTTCGGCTTTGCTCGGATTGTCATCAGTTGTACCGCGCCGCCTTCTACACCAACGGTGTTTGAAAAATGCAAAAATTGTACTGTGAAATAATCGATATATGAGGTTTTGTCGTGTATCGCTGTAGAGAATATGAAAACGAATTGAGAGGCGATTTTCCAGTATTTTCTACTTGTTGAGAATATGTGTTCATCATCACCATCAGCATCAACAACATCTACTAAAATTTCCAACAGCTACTCCTCCAGCATTGACTGTGACTTAGACTGTCAATTGTACAATACATTCCTCCACTTCGGTAGCAGCAGCAGCCCGAGTGACTGTGCGGTCCCCGAACCTCAGGCAGAGTCCACCTTTAGCCGTCCTCGCAGTCGCTCGTGTACGAGGTTCCAACGGGAGCCTCGGAGGTCTTCGTATAGGGTTGGGTCTGATGACGAAACTACAGCTGCTTGTGTTACTTCACAAGAAGAGGAAAACCACGAGAAGTTCACTACTGTTATGGTGCATAATCTACGACCTCACTGTAATGTCGATTATGTGGAACAAGTGTTCAACGAGGTTGGCTTGAAAGGAGCCTTTGATTTTCTCTACGTACCGTTGAATTTCAAGACTCGCGAAGCGGTGGGATTTGCCTTTGTGAATTTCGTTGACCAGGAGCACGCTCAGAAGATGATCGATGGTTTCAACAACTTGATTCTGGACGATTGTATGCCATTGGTAGTGGAGCCTGCGAAAAATCAGGGCTTGCAGGCTCAAATCGATCACCTCAAGGAGAGCCCAGTGAATGCGGCTGATGAAGAATTCCGACCGAGACTTTTCGAACTAGGCACGGGAAAGCGACTTGAATTCCCGGCTCCTACAAATCCTCGGCTACCCCGCCGTTCGCATCGTCACAGAAGGCGTGTACGCGAATATGTACCCCAAAAACCAAAGCAGACTGAAGTTTGCGATCCTTATGCTAAGACTCATTTGGACTACAGTATGGCCCTTGGAGACCTCCTGGCTTGAGATCGTCGTTATCAATTCTGTTATGTGACAATTCTTTGCTGTCCGATAATAATACGATATTTAGCTGCTACTGCCGTAAAAACGACATTTTCTCAGGCGAGCCCTGGCCCCACAGTTTGTTTTTATCCTCATTAATTTCGTTGTTGCCAATGTAGGCATTCCGTGTGGCTCACTCGAGATTATTATTCCGTCATCACCTTACCTATTCCTAACATTCTCGGTTGGTCATGACGTGTATGATGTACTCCCACAGAGCTCGTTTTTCTCGTGTTCACTATCCTGGATTCTCGTAGTTGTTGTTGTTTTTGCTAATGTTGATGCTAACAGCAACTAAGTTCGCAGTTCTATTTGCTTCATGTACCATATAGCGTGAGTCTTGTGTTCGTCAAGTAGTAGGGAGGGTAGTAATGACCTCTTGTGACGAAAAATGGTCTCAATATGGTAAGAGTGATTCTGGCTATTGCAAATCTCCACCCTGGAGGAAACAGTAATATTATAAGTAGTTTTCTCTGTGTGTGTGAGTTTGAAGTCCAATGCCTACGACAACACGGCTTAGTTAGACTCTTAGCATCGATGCACATTGGCTCCCGAGAGATCAGTTTTAGCCTTATAGATGTCTACTTTCATCATGCTAATGAGTTTTCTGTGTAGGAGCACTTCGAATATTATCCTATAATCAGATAACGAGCACCCATTCAGAAGATCAATGATTAATGTCTTCAACAGTCGAGCCAGGCAAACTACTTAACCGATTCATTTTGTATTATAAAGGTTATTTCCATCGGTTGAAGAAGGACGGCACTGGAACGCAGAGTATGGGGTTCACAAGAATCATTTGGTCGCGTGGTAGATTCGCGTGTTTAGTAAGCGGAAGATCCTCGGATCTATCCCATCCCGAGAATATACCATTGCATTTTCTTTCAACTACTTCATTGCGTCATGTAGCAGCAATTCTTCCACTAGGCAGAGAGTAGCCAATATAGGAGTATGGCTGCGAACTCAACAGCCAAGCCTTAATACATGTACGGAAACTAATTCACTTGTATACCACCATTGTACCAAAGGTTCAACTAAGTCACTATAAACACAATAGAACTTTAGTGTGGAGGAATACTAGTAAAACGTAGTAGTTGACGTTGGTGCTCTATATGATACCCCATCGATCCTCTAAGGCGCAAGTGAGCTTAGCGCAACAGATAGCAGCACTGAGGCCGTGGTTGGAGATGGCGATTGTCTCCTCAACATAGTCACCACCGAAGCGGGGTTCCTGAAGAAGAAAAGCATCAAAGCAATCGATTCGAACACTACAAGCCCGATCAAACATTTCACAATTATGGTGGAATATGTGCGACCATCGAGCGGAATAATTCACTCACTTTACCCCCCGAAAGTATACCCATTGTGCAAAGGGAATGCCTTCAGACATCAACTCACCGAGCAAGGCTCTCCATGCGCCACAGCACCGATGACTACAGTAACAGGAACTGTATCGATCAAAGAGCGGCCTTTGGAGTCTTTAGTCTCATCATGTGACTTCAACCACTGCGGACCTGCGTTCGATCACATTCCACTATTATATGAGATTGTGCTATTACAGGTGAGGAGACGTCCGTCTACTGAAAGTCCACATTTGATGCCTCCTGCTGGGAGATACTTCTGTACAGGATTTGCGATTACCTTCATGAGGATCTCACTACCTGAACAACAAAGATACGTTGCGCACAGCGAATATTTCCAAAATGTACTACTGTTGGCTGCCCGAATCTTATTCTTGTTGAGGAGCTCGACGATAAGACCGGAAAACCTTTTGAAGGTTCGAGGCATCCTCAGGGCGGGGCTCACCTCGATGAGGACCTGAATGGACACTAAGGAATAATCGCTTTATATGAGCATGCGATAGAAGTTCTATCGAGTTGAACCGTCGCTCCGTCATAGAGCAAGGATAAAGCTCCGTAGAGTGCGCGATTTATGTGCGACCTCAGATCACACGACGTAGTAGACTATACGAACCGGGGAGGTTGGGCAACCGCTCGAAAGATTGCATTCAGAAGCAATCGACGTATCGAATAGAGGCTTGCCTAGAGTACACTAAAAGTGTGGCAGTGGGGCACCGCGTAGTGTTGGAAACAAGTCCCCGACGGCGGAAATGAAGGGCTAATACTCTTCCGTAAGCAGCAATAGCGCTTCATAGGGCACCCACATATTGGCTGTGAGCAGAGCGCGGAAGAATCAGCGTAGACTCTATACCGTAAAAAGATCGGAACATCAGAGCAGTACCCAGCACAAAGACAACACAGAGATTAGAACCAGCGTCCTCCGACTTACTAGACTACAACCTTACCATTAGGCCAACCAAGAACGCGAAAATAGAACCACCCCTATCCCCCTCTATTACATTGTTCATAGTGTGGACATATATAAGAAGTTTGCCAGCCTTATTGAGCGGACTATCCAACAACATCATCAAACATTGATGAGTAATATCAGGTCGGTATGAAGATATGTCCTTCCCCGACTTCGCCAAAATATTCTTATGGTCATCACTGTTCAACAACTCGTATTTACCCTTCACTTGCACAACCTCTAAAGCCGCCTTTTCTAAGACCTACAATGGGAGAATTATTGGTAGTGCGTCAGAAACAGAATGAACGTGACGAAATAGTAGTTACTTATCATCGCCGATTTTGACTATGTGAAGGAACACTGTGGAAGAATAATACGAATATTGAGGCTCGTATAAAAATGAAATTAACGATAGAAAATGTGCTTTCAAAGAACACATGCATCGCTAATAGAAATTCTTACATACAGCTTGAACATATATATATCACGAAACTAGATTTTGGTTCTGCAAAGTCAACACTGACTACGGTAAACAAAGTTCAGCATATTCGGTGAAGAGTTGATAGGATCGAGAAGGGGGTCTTGTCACTTCTATCGAATACAGCGGTCGAGCTTAACACACAGAGGGCATCGCGGATCTCATTTTGGGATAGGAATTTTCCTCCTCATTATCTTCGCGACAATCGCTCTTATTAAAACGAAATCGTCAGATTCTACGAGATGCGAACACGTCGAACTTCAGTTTTCAGCTTTCCTCATGAAAAATCGACGTCCATCACCAACTTTCAACATGATTATTCGGGGACCCAGAGCTTCCTAATGTATACCAAAACTCCATAGTGGATGTTCCTATTACCACAACAAGCCTCTGCCCAGTGGTCTTCTCCTCGGGCGTGCGCGGTATGAGAGCTTTGGCCTCGTCGACAGTATGCCCGACAAGAGCATCGCTTCGACTGCTGGAGCGCTCTTCAGTACGGGTACGCTTCAAAGCTGACATTGATAGGAAATTTCCACTTACGATGAGGCAGAGGTGGTACGTGTTTTTACACGTGTAAAAACGTTACAATTCCGGAATTTCTTACATATTGTCATAATCTTCGTAGGACGAAAATAGGTTGCAACTATCGTCAT